CCGCAGCGGCCGCGAACGGCATCGTCATCCTTTGTCTGATCACCGTGCGGAGCCAGGCTGCCGTCACAACCGTCGCCGTCATCACGGGGTTTCTAGGCGGAATCATCATCGCCATGCCCCCGGTCTGTATGGCTCTGCTCACGGAGAACAAAGCCTTGATGGGCACGCGCGTGGGAACGGGATACGCTGTCATTGCTCTGGGTCTACTGTCGTGCGGACCTCTTGCTGGCGCAATCCTGGGCCCCGTAAACCATGATCGTCGCTGGGAAGGCTTGTGGGCGTACAGTGGTGTGTCGCTGCTGCTGGGCTCACTGCTCTATTTGGCTATAAGAGTGCAAAGGGGCGGTCTTAAGGTGATGGTTATAGTATGAGATTATACCAAATGGTTTGCTTCTGCATAGCACAGTTCATGTCGCACATTAAGCACCTTTTCTCGAGAGAAGTTCCTCATACTTCCCAATAGCCTCCTTTAGCATGCCTTCGTAGTCAAAATACCAAATTTTGTGCGAGCGGTCCTTGATCTCTTCAAAGCATGACCGCACCTTCAGCAGCTTGGCCGGATCTCCCCACTCATGCTGCTGGTGCAGGTCGGTGATGCGCCGGCTACTGTTGACAAACCACTGGCACCGCGTGCGTCGGACGGCATCAAAGCTCGCAAATGCCGCCTCGAGCGCCGCGTACGGCCGCTCTGGAGGGGCTGTCTCCCGGCAGACGCGGTCGAGCAATGTCACGAGGCATAGTGCGTCCTCCATGCCGATGCCAGCGCCCGCGCCGTGCTGCGGTGCACTGGCGTGTGCAGCGTCACCGGCGAGCACGACGCGGCCGCTGTGGAAGGCGGGCAGGGGATATTCGGCGAGGTCGAATATAGCCCATTTAGGGAGGGTTTCGGGCAGTACGCTGATGAGGTCGACGATGGTCGGGTTGAAACGGGCGAAGACCTCCTGTAGGTGTGCCTTGGAGCCGTCGTCAGACGTCAATTTGTGGTGGTCGGGCCACTCGCCCTCGTCCGAGACGAAAGCGGTGATGTTGACAAGCGTTTGGTTGGAGATGGCGTAGTGCAAAATGTTGGCCCCGGGGCCGACGTGGTTGTTGAACGTCTTCGCCTTGCGCTCTCCCAAGAGCCTGATGGCCGTGTCCATCGGGATGACGGCCCGGTACGCTGCAACGTGTGTGTAGGTGGGATACGAGGCCGGGTTGTCCCTGCCGAGCATGAGCTCTCGAACCTTTGACTTGATTCCATCGCAGCCTATCACTGCATCAACAGTAGCCGTTGTGCCATCCGCAAACACCAGCACTTTCCTGCCAGTCCTCTCCCCGTGTCCGCCAACAGTCTCATCAACGATATCCTCTAGGCGCTTCCGCAGCTCAAACGCATCAGCTGGAAGCAGCTTCAGCAGCCGGGAGGCAAACTCGTCGCGCCTGACGGCTACGAAGCCCTTGACGCCAGCGCTCAGCTCGTACAACGGCTCTTGCCACCGAGGATCGCGGCCGGGGTGCGAGTTGAAGCCATCGACCCAGCGCAGGTAGTCGTTTGGGTCGGTGGAGCCGGCCGAGCTTGATAGTGGCACGGCGCCGGCCTGCCAGAAGGCTTCGAGGATGGCCGGGTCAAGTTGCTCCATGCATCGCTGTGCGCAGGCCGTGAAGGCGATCCCCGCGCCAACCTCGCCGAACGCCTGCGCCTGCTCATATAGCTTGACTCTGATGCCGCGATTCAAGAGTCCACATGTTATTGCCAGGCCGATGATGCCGCCGCCGATGACAGCCACTTCGAATGGCTGCAGCTCATCAGCCTCAAACTTGTGCCCTAGATCGGGGGACATATTATCTTGGTCTGCCTTGGACTTTGAGTGTCTACCTTTTGGACGTCTTCCGAGTAATCCAACCGGTCTACAGCCAGGATAGTAGCAGCAATCTTCGGGGCGCACCTCTATATGGCTGATACGAAACAGCCATGTTCAGCGTTCTAGAGTTCTGTAATGTGTAGCAAACCCTCATAACGCATTAAACGTAATTACAGGTTTTATAGTTCGCTAAGCTTTTTCATTAGGTATAAAGCTGCTCCAGTATGCACCTGGGTATGTGAACACTCTGTGGTGGAGATCGAAGTTTAAGCTTTCACTGATGGTCCTTTTGATAAGGTGAAGCTTGGTACAAGCTTTTAGCATATGATGGGGCTGGCACTACCTTCCGATGCACTAGTCAGCTGTTCGAAAGGTAAAACGACGCTTTCGCTGAAATCCTCGCCGGCCACGTTCCACTTGATGACTGGGCGACATCTTGTGTGTAAGAGGCGGTGTGGATTTCTACAGTTATACTCCGTAGTAGTTTAAAAAAGGTGGTGATGTTGATGGATGAGGGATTTCCGGATGGATGGCCCGCAAGTAGGGTGGGGGGTAGTTGTGTTGTTCCGTGATCATCTTTCCAGATAAGAGTGCTGCCATCCGTACGTGCCCTTTATACCCAAATGTACTTGACTCATGAATCTCGGTCCAACATCTGTCGGTTCATCCAGAAGGTTTGTAAGTGTGTGTGTTCCTAGTCATTTGCACTTGTCCTTGTTCCTGTACGGTCACGTGGAAAAGTTATTCTAAAAGACGCTGCGCTTTTAATCGCGCATGATACGAACCAAGATTCCTTTCCTAGCTCACTTTTCTCGAACAACTAATTTACTTTTTATTGATTGATGTGTTACTCAGTGCAAACCTGTCATCAAATCCACCCTCAATGCAGGTCATCATCGCCGGATCCGGAGTGGCAGGTCTCAGCGCCGCCATCTCCCTTCGTCGATGCGGACATTCTGTGACAATTTACGAGCGATCCTCACTGAATCACGAGTTCGGGGCCGCTATCAACGTGCCGCCTAATGTCGCCCGCTTCCTGATAGCATGGGGACTTGATGTTGTCGAGGCTCAGTTCGTCCCGTCCGAGTCCATGTACATCTTTTCGCCCACGCAGCGGAACAAGGTGCTGGCCTACTCCGACTTCAGGCACAACATTAAGAAGTACGGAGCACACTTGTATTATGCTCACCGTGTTGACCTACATTCAAATCTGAAACGCATGGCTACAGCGCCGGATGGGCCTGGGACGCCAGTCACGATTAAGACTAAATCTGAGGTTATGGCCTATGATCCCGAGACTCCCTCCATGACTCTCACAGATGGTACCATCCTCACCGGGGACTTGTTGATCGGGGCTGATGGGATACACTCAATATCTGTTGCGGCCATACTCGGCCATCCGAACCCTCCCAAGCCTGCCCAGCACTCTAACTGCTGCTATCGGTTCCTTATCCCCAGAGCCCTCGTTGAAGACGACCCTGAGACTAGCTTCTTCACTAAGGATCTGGTGGGTTTGCAGGGCCTCCGAATCTGGCCGGATGTCGCGGGGAGTAGGAGACTAGTCTACTATCCATGTCGAAAGTAAGTTTCCAAGACCAAGAAAAACTACAAAATACCTCAGGGCCAGATAGAGTAAAGTAAGTACATAGGGCTGACATGGATGCTTTACGAAAAGTACTCAAGTTCTCAACTTCACCATCATGTGTAGAAATGATGAGCTAGGTTCCGGCAAGGAGGGTGAGAATATCAACAAAGCCTATGACATTCTTCAGAACCGGCATCTCTGATAATTCTTCCTAGACTGGAACACGCCAGCAACCAAGCAGGAAGTCTTAAAGGCGCTGGAAGGCTTTGATCCTGGCCTCCTTTCAGTCATTGGGTCAGTCTTTTCAGCCGCCCAAAGCGTTATTTACTTGGAAGTGACTGACATGCTACCTGGGACCAACAATAGGAAATGTCCAGAGTTCAAACGTTGGCCTCTCCAATACCGTCCACCAATTCCAACTTGGCACAAAGGAAACATGGCTATTGTTGGGGATGCCGCTCACCCAATGCTGCCGCGTGAGTTCATCCGTCTCAGACCAGAAAGATCGACTTCTGGTCCCTTTGTTATATATTGCGCTGTCTTTTCTGATACGTCCTTCACAGATCTGGGTCAGGGTGGAGCACAAGGCCTCGAAGACGGCCTCACAATCGGCCTCGTTATGTCTGGAGCAACCAAGGCTGAAGTTCCGGAGCGATTGGCCGTCTATCAAAAAATCAGGCACAATCGCGCATCTGCCATCCAAATTATGAGCAACTACGGCTTCGACCAGAAGCCTCCTGGCGAAGTTTTGAACTATTTAGAAGGCCAGGCATTACCGAGTAAGTATAGTCATTTCTGAGTCCTACAGAAACGTTTGAATATTGCAACATCCGCCTACTAACGAGACGCCGGGTTAAAGCCAATGCAGAGGAAACGCTCGAGTTCAATTATCGCATTAATCCAGTGCAGAAAGTTATTGATCACATGAAGTCACATGACCCAACGTTTCAAATACCTAGAGATTTCTTTTCCTGTTTAGATTTAGCTAGTCGGCAGCCTGTTATATAAGTATTGATACTTTGTTAGGTACTAAACGTACAATCTATCCTACTAAGTTGACTAGCCTACTTTTTGCCCCCCTGCATTTCGCCAACCTGAAAAATGCCGCCTAGCTACCTACTTTCGAGAAACCGTCATACTTATAAACATTATAATGTTGTCTATTCTTACCTAAAATACTCTATATATTAGTTATGTGTACATTCTTTTTTACTTAATGATTTCATATAGTCAAGATAAACTTATTAAATACTTAGTATTATAATAGATAATATATTATAACTATATAAATTAGTGTCAACCCCATTTTTATGTATATATTATAGATTTTCTCTTATCTATGTAGTGAAATCAATCCTACAAATAACTTATATGTTTTCTCCTACGCACAGACTCCCTGGCCTACTTTGTTGCTAAACCGCCTATTTTAACAATTGTTATAATAGTTTAATAAAGGTGGTGATGTTAATGGATGGGGCATTTTCGGATGGCTCGGATGTGGGGGTGGCTGTATGTGAGGCAGGGTGGTTATAATTTAATTTCATTTAATTAATTCCCACTTCGCCAAACGATGTCGTAGGCCATTTAAAGTTCAATACTGAGTCGGATCAGAGCAAAAAGTAACCTTAAAGTCAGGTTCCGGAGGGAAAACAGAAGTACCGTGTGTGGAGGGACTTTCAGGCGCTCAAAGCCATATCACCTATAAGGGAGAACAGGTAGGAATCATAGCTGATTCCTTTCACACGGGCTCATTGTAAATAAATTCTCTAGGGATCAATCGAACAGCTGCTTACACACAAGCAGCCTCATATGGATATCCGCATCCTCTTGTTCTGTATCCTGACAAAGACGTTATTCACAATGAACACCAAATTTTTAACACCACTCTTACCACTCTTGTTTCTGTCCCGACATGTTCTCTCCCTACCATCCAATTCTGACTCATGGCACTTACTACCTCCCATTCCACTCGGCCCTCAGCAGGAAGAGAGCGTTGCTGCGATCGGCGGCGACATTTATATTGTCGGCGGCATCAACCTTGTCCCTCCCAACGCCACAACCATACCCTCTGTGAGCTACATGCAAGTCTACTCAACAACAACCAACACTTGGCGCCGGGTCGCCGACATCCCCATGGCCGTCAACCACGCCAACATGGCTTCCCTCAACGGGAAGCTCTACGTCCTCGGCGCCATCGCCGGCTCCGGCATTAACTACCCCATCGCCAACAGCTTCGCCTACACCCCAGCCACAGACACATGGGATGCCCTGCCCCCCATGCCCGCAGGCACCGAGCGCGGCGCCGCGGGGGTGGGCGTCTGGGGTGACAACATCGTCATCGCGGGTGGGCTGAACTACACCGACTTCCTCAACGGGGCGCAGACGACGGTGCCGTGGACGTCCATGTTCAACACTCGCACGCTGCAGTGGGACACGGCATTCCCCGACCTGCCCGACGGAGGCCGCGACCACTGCGGAGGGGTCGTGCTTGGCGACACGTTCTACGTGGTGGGCGGACGCGTCAGCGGCGAGAGAAACGTCCGCGGGACGGTGTGGGCTATGGACCTGGGAAAGGCGACCCGGACGTGGGTGGAGATGGAGGGTAAGATGCCCACGCCGAGGGGATCACACTCCACGGCGTTGGTTGACGGCAAAATTTATACCTTTGGGGGAGAGGGGAATCCGGTCGGGAACGGCATATTTGATAACGTCGAGGCTTACGATGTAAAGGCTGATAGCTGGGAGGTTCTGGCGCCCATGCCAGAACCGCGCCACGGCACCGCCGCTGCTGTTGTGGCCGGTCGTGTATTTATACCTGGGGGGGCCTACAAAGGGGGAGCGGGTGCCGTAGACTCGAACCAGATATTTATTCCTTAAGCGACTGTAAAGTACCTATAAGGGTTATTAATCAATTTAATAAAAGCTAGGCTTATAACTTTTATAAGTTAAGGTATATAGTAGTAGATAAGGTTATATAAGGTCATAAAGAGTTACTTAAATAATGTTATATAGTGCCTTTTTAGGTAAGAAAGGTTATAGAAAAACAGCTTAACTATCTACGCTCTAGATTATCTAATCTAATCTAACTTATAGATATACATGTCTCTCTAGTAGATCTAAATAGTAAATACTACAATAGTAAATATTCTAGTCCTAGTTAAATCCTTATAAGGCTTTATAATATTATCTTTATCCCTATACCTTCTTTCTCTTTATTCTCTTTTATTACCCTACCTACTCCTCTTACTCTTCCCTAGCGCCTCTCTAGGTGCCTAAGGAAACAACAATCTTAGGCCTGCTAGGTAATACCTTACAGGCAGGAATTCCATTACTGTCTTACCGGTCTGACCAGCAAAAGGGACCTAGGACTTAGAGAAGGACGGCTGACAGGGCTTCTGCCGTGGCCTGGTAAGTTAAAGTAATAGAGAAGGCCCTTAGCTGTGCTGAGGAGAGCCCCTCTTAAAATATTTTGGCTTTACCTGCCTAGGTCTATAACGGCCTAACAACTTAAACTAGCAGAGGAGACTTAAGGTTAAAAAAAAACCCCGTAGGACTTTTACCTTTACCTGCCTACTACTATAACGACTACCACTATTGTAAATACTCTATATATAAGTAGGTAAGTAGATAACAGCCTGGTAAGTCGATCTAGTAGAGCTTAGGGTCGAAAAAAGCCCCCTAGGGCTTCTAATACAGTAAGTATTCTAGAGGGCCCTAACTGTCCTTAACCGGCTTGTTAAGGGTTGCTTAATAGGAGAAGCCCTACAGGGCTTTTCTTACGGTCAGCGTTAGGTAGAGGGCCTTAGGCCTTTTAACCTAGCTTCTTAATGGTACTAAATTAGATACCTCATAGCATCTATGGCTTTCCATTACGCGCTTTAAGGTGCTTGTTGGAGATGCTTATAGAGGGGGGAGGGGGGTCTATTTAACTACCTAGGGAGTGGCCTGCCTGCTTGCCGGTAGATAGATAGATGCGATAGATATAGTATGGTGTCTAGGTAGGTAGAAGCCGGTATGGCGGCCCGGTCTGTCTGTCTGCTATGGGACTTGTATCGTCTTACCTACCTACTTACCTACCTACTCCTGCTCTCTCCAGGCTGTGGCCTGTCGTCTGGTCCCCCCCCCCCCCCCGCCCCCCTCTCCTCTCCTCCTACACGCACCTCCTCTTGCCTGGCCCTAACCCTACCCAAGCGGTGCGGTCCGCCGGGTCTACTTGTCGATGACGATCCGGTCGAGTGTCTACCTTGCCTATAGCCGTAAGACGAAGTCGTGGAACCCCTTGGTGGCCACGGACTCGGGTGTGATGAACATAATGGTAGCCGCCTGTGGCGCCTTCTGGCTTGACTACACCGACGAGGTGATGCTGGCCTTGATGCAGCGTACGTGGAGATCCCCCTGTAGTGACATGAGCGGTGTGACCACGATGGTGACCCCCTCCGGTGAGCAGAACGCTGGCAGCATGAACGACGCGCTCTTGCTGCTTTTCAAGGCACAGATCTAGCCAGATCTGACAAGGATCTATGTTACGGTTGTTGCAAGACCTTGGTGACATTGAGTTAGCATATTGGCCTGCCAAATAGGGGTATAATTATTCTATGCCGGCGCATTCTTACTCTTCCCAAAGCTTCCATGCTCTGTCTCTAGACTTCCTAGCCTTGTCGGATATGGGTTGTTGAGGAAGACCCTCATAGGGGATTTCCATCTCTTTCTGCCACCATTCATCTTCAGCCTTTTTATCTTCGGCAGTTGTGACTTGGCGTTTCCGAGTTCGTGGCATGGCGATCTTCCCTGAGTTGGTAGCTCGATTGCTTCCTGGAGCAAAGAACAAAGTGAAGTATGTCAAGGAAACCCGTGATTGTCAGCCCGTCAAGAATTCAACAGGCGAAAGATGGGCATATTAAATACTGGACAATGCTCAATGGCACTGCCATGATTATCCGTATCATACACCCATGTCCAAGGACTAAATGCCTCTTCTTGGCTGTCACCCTCTCCCCCCTTTTCTCAATTCCGACAGAAAAGCGATAGAGTCTGAATGGGCGTGTGAAAACAACTTTGACACCCCAAGTGACCAGCGCATGGCTCACTCAAGAGATTTTATGCCGTGGGGATGGTAAGCAATACGGTCCGCAACGGGGCCGTTAGCTTAGGGACTGTTCCGCTACGGCAGCGACAAACGGAAGACCCGCTTTTCTCGCTGGTCATCGCAGACCCTGTAGGCAAGAGGGCCCTCATTGGCTTATCTATGGGAGAGCGGACGGGATCCCGAGTTTTCCAATGGGTATGGTCGTAAGTGATAGTCAGGCGAGTTAAAACTAATTGTATCGGGTTTCCATATGTCTGCTTGTCTCATAAGACACATGGTAGGCGATGAATAATACCGGAACAGGCTTTTGCGGCGTGTCGACACCCAGGCAGTCTTCTCTGGCGTCCGAAGAACACGATTTACATATAGTATGTGGTGTGAAGGTGACAAAGTGAACGTTTCGCGGTAACAAATTGAGATGCACACATCAGTTGAAGGCAATCTCAGTCTACAATCAATCTCAAGATACCTCGCTCTAGTTATCACATTTCATACAGATGCCCTGACCGTTTCAAAAAGAGAGGTTGTGTACTCTATCATTAGGTCCAACATTAATCAATATGATATCTGGTATTTGAACAGGACTTATTCCCCAAGCCAACGATCACCATGCAGTGAAAGCAAGGTATTGGGATACGGAGATTCAGCGGATCCAGAGAGATCACGTGTTTCGTCACATGACCTTCATCCCCCTAGAATAATCCTACCATAACTCATCTAACTAGGCTCTACCTACCTGCCTCAAGCAATAATAATAATAACAAATATCCTCACTTTGTGCACAACTGCTATGACAACATGATATTCTATCACTACCCTTACAAATCGTAACCAATAGAAGGGTATCTGGTACCACAAGCAGCCAGCTTACCAGACTTTTGGAGAGACCACGGAAAAGAACATTAGGTTCCTTAACCAGTATCTCACTCCATTGGGATAACTAATGTAGGGAGTATTAGCAAGTAGGTACTCGATAAGTGATGTTGCGACTACCTTTTGAATGTATCTATCCAACTGCCGATTCAGGGCGCACAAGGACAACAACATTCGCCGAGTCTATGGGTATTGAGATTGTACTCTAGAATGCAGTTGACACAGTTGAAGAGCCGGTTCAGCATTAATTTCAAAGAGTCGATAGATAACTGCCCATGGGACACAGAAAGGCTTGTGCAAAAGTAACTGACAGATGAACAGTAGATCAATTATTCCCTATGAAGGGACGCAGGCGTCTCGAGAGCCTAGAGGGACGAGGACAATTCAGTAAAGTGATAATCTTGACCAAAAAGGCCTTCCCGGTTATCTCATTGATAAGCTGTGCAAGCTCCAGTCCAGCAAACGTAATCACTGTTCCCTTTTCTAGCTCAGCAGTCTTCCTTAGACTGGAGGGGAGCAGGCACTGCAGTGGATTGCAATACCCTGAGAATCAAAATTAGAACGGCATTCGCAACTCGAACGGGTAGCACTGACCAGGTCTTTTCCAGGCCCACCACATTGACAGCCCAGAGAACTCGGAGACGGGAAATACTGCTGAATAGCCCAAACAGTCGAGTTAGGTGAATAATTGAATAGAATACGAGCTTGAGGTACCTCGTCACGGTACAGTTGAATAATGTCTGCATATCAAGTTGGTAAGTGCATTACTAAAAGTAGTCATGGCAATTACTAACCTATCAGCCGGCGTGTGATGACCGGGGAAGGGTTTCCTCGGACGCCAAATCCAACGCCAGTCCCTGTCCAGTTCACACCCTTCAGCTCGGAAGAGATATCGTCCAGGCTGTTCTCTGGCCCGACAAGTACGGCTGAGATGCTACCGGTGAGTATAAAGATAATGGTTGATAGGGAACCTGACTTACCCTTGATGTTATAGCCAGCATCTACAATAGCCTTCATATCTGCTCGTAAACCAGCTTCAACTTGTTCAGGTGTGAAACCGCTTGCTTTGACAGAGGGATGGTTCCACGGCAAGCCACTACATGACGTAGTGATATCAGTACAAGGTAAGAGAAGTTGCCGTTCGACAATCAGACGCTTACGTGAACACGAAGTTGTAATCGCCGCATGACTTTTGGGCCGCCCTACGACTGCCTTGCCCAAGACCCCTGTCTTGAAGAGCGCGAGCGGAATTATCGGATTGGATATCGGCCACAGGTGCAGGCCTCAAGATATGCGAGGCTACAGCATGAGCATTGAGGAAAAGCGTAAGAGTAATCCAGAAGTTCACCATCGTGGCTGCTAAAGTGAGCGGGTGATGACCAGAATGTAACTATGTCCTGGTGGATCAAATTGGATTTTCATGGTCTGTGGGCAATGGTCTAATTATTATATGCCGATGAAGTCCACCGGCATGTATCTTTCCAAGAAGAAAAAACAAAGAAAAAGCCTCTTCCATTGGAACTTTGTTCAATTAACGAAAGTCAAACAATATCGGCAACATTCCAGGTCTCTGAGACGTGAGGGTAAATCTGGCTTGCTTGTGGTACCCCGCATCAATGGCATAACACTCAACCGGGCTATCGAGGCGTTTGAGAATGGATTGAATTCAGCCCAAAAGGCCGCATTGTTCTCGGTACCCAATATTTCACACCATGCTTAACCTAAAAAGTGGGAGGTATTGTTTAAGACCCCCGACAGCAATTACCTTATAAGGTTTGCCGCAGATTCCTTCAAGACATTTGGTTAAAACATGCCTGGCTTGCCCTACCAGTCGTCCAGCTAAAAGAAATGTGTTGATACATGAGATTTATAGGATGACCAAGGACCATAATAGTAATTTATGTCTTGTAATTACATTCCATTCTGTTTGACCTATCTTCGCGGTCTTAGTTTAAAAATACTTTTGTTGCAGTGTTGTCAAATTCTGTTGGAGATGCCCGCTTTACGCTGCAGACAACATCCAATTAGGTTGAAAATTGGGTCGGGGGGTTTTGAGTTTGGAGCCTTATCATCACCAAAGTGTCTCCTCATTCTGGTCCTGCAATCTAGACGAATATGTAAGTCTTGCAAACATTCTCATCCGCATAGTCTAACAGGAACTAATTTATGAACAATTGAGGGTTAAACATTGGAGAACCCTGCGTTTCCTTATCCAAGACAAAAAGATCCTTGGTAGGGAGGTTTCTGGCTCTTTACCTATTTCGTTTGCAAATAATAAAAAGTGTTGGAATGTTAATCCGACCGGATTCGCACGCATGAGTCAGTTGCCAGAAGGTCTATATAACTGGCTACATTTCCAGCCGACCAGACCGCTAGAACTTAGAGAATTAATGCCTTTTACAACCACGTCTTGTTGATGCATCAACCCATCTATAGTCCTTCCAACAAGAAGGCTTTTTCATATAGAATAAGTCATGTAGATCCCAGAATAAATATTTGCAATTTTATCGTTAAGGAATCCAGATAGTCACCCTTACAATTTCTACCAATCTTACTACTGTATGATGGCCATGAGAATACATTGACCAAAGATCTTATCGGTCTACATCGTCGAGGCCGGCTTATCCATCGAGCATGATATATGCCTGATCATGTAATTTAAGGAAAGTGTAAAAGTGACAGGCCTTAGTTTTATCTGACTAATTGAGTGACCAAACGATACAACAGCATCAATCCTCGGGAACATAGTGATTGCATGAGTGAAACAGAAACGAGAGCAAGGCTCTACTTATTCTCTATGGGCTTGTCTATCTCATCGCTTACTCCCCCAAAGCAATGTTACATGTGGTCTCGATAGTTCCTTTTTCCTTGTCATTCTTCTCTTAAGCCCTTTTGGTAATCCTTATGGGAACCTCCTTCTAGATGGACAGAGAGAGATGGCTTGGACACCCGTCTAGTATATTGTTGGATTCCCTTCGGGCTAGCTTCCATGTCTCACCATCTTCCTATGCGAGCTCCAGTATATATTCGCGAAATATGACAGCCATGAGGACGACGAGCTCCAGATGGAAAATTCCTTTACCCAAGCATCCACGCGCAAAAGTACTCTTTAACAAAGTTTTAGAACTTGGAGACGCAAGTTGAACCCTTGATTGTCGCTGATAGCATGGACTCCTTTAGCGGCCCGGCCTGGAAGAGGATTCAAGTCATGTTAAACTAGGTTTCTTCCTGGTCATCGGGAGTCATTGTGGTTAATGCTACCACCTTTGTTGAAACCCTGAGAAGATTCCACGAAACAGATAAGTCTATGTTAATGGAGGAAAAAACTAGAAAGGCCACTGTTAATATTATTGGCAAGGTCATCTTGGAAGCTGTTTTGTACTAGAGGGCTTACTGCTCCTGTTAGGCTATCTACTTAAATTTGCTGATACGTGGTCTAGAGACTACGACCTTAAGTATTAATGGCCCGAGGATGAGCCTCTTGAGGCGTTTATAAGCCAAGCCAAGTCTCTTCTGGGAAACTTTTGTACTGTGGCTTATGATACCAGTTGGTTACTCCTTTAAAGGCTAAACAAACGGGTCATAGAGAACTATTTGCTAAATGGACTTGTCAGTCTTTGGAAGGGAAGAAGGCAACAGTAAAGATAGAGAGAAAGACGTTATTAACCTATCCCTAGACACTTACCTGGAGGAGTCGCGCCAGAATACGGCAAACCTATTCGCTGGTACAGAACTAGACGTCGTCTTTATCAGTCAGGTCCCCATCACTTAGATCAAAACATTCATCTTTGCGGCTACGACACCTCATTCTACATGTATCACCTGCTGAGCTTGAATCCCGATTACCTTAAACGCGTACATGGAGAGCCGAAAATGTCTTCTCCATCCCTTAAACAACACTGCGGCGGCCATCAAGGTAAATCCGTCGCTGAAGAGCAACATCAGCTATGATTCGGGAGATGTTATGCCTGTGCCCTGCCGCGTCGGCCGTTCGTACGGGCAGTTCAGACGCACCAATAGTCGGTCCTGGAACGGGACGGATCTACCCGATGGCAGGATTCATGGTTTGGGTCGTGCATCACGCCATGGACGGGCGGCCGGACATGTTTCCGTATCCTCTGGAATTACGGTCCCAGCGCTTCTCAACTCTCCTACCAGTTCTATTCCCACCCAGTACCCATGGAATCAAGGCACGCGCAACTCCATCAGACATGAGCTGTACGTCATTGAGATCAAGCGCATCATGGCGCTGGCCATCCGGTTCTTCAACATTTAGGCGGGCTATCCTTAGCGAAGAGTGTGATGTCACGCCGTGCAGTACCTGTCACAATAATCCTCAATCCTCACTTAGGCTTCTGCAATGTGTCTGGCTTTTTTATTATTCCCAGGGTTATCGCACTCATAAAGCACAGTGCTTCTCATTGCCTCCGGTTTGATCATGTATTGGAAAAATGAGGCGATTTCCGGACGTAAAACTCATTCCACCGTCAACAAGCGAGTTTAGTATCATGCGCTCGATTTTCGACAAAATACACAGCCCAAGCCAAAGAAAAGTTTGTGACAGGAAGCCAATATGGCATGCCAGCTCGCATTTGACTCCAATACCCAGAAGCTGTTAAAAAACAACCTAGAAAGAGAGTGATAGGAGCTCCTCCGGTCTGTGGCAAAACCAAGAGAAAGCCTTCCGTGATCATCAAGCTTCCAATGTACAGCATATGCAGTTTGATATTGCGTGGATCCGTAAAAGGGTAGACTGGAAAGAGATGAGGTGCCGTCGTTCGAGTCTTCCGATAGATTCTCTCATGAAGCGACTTGAATGGCCAGGGGCCGAGTCGAGGAATGCCGCCAATGAAGTATTCGAGGGCCAGAATGACGCGGGGAATGGCAAGTAGCAATGAATTCATCGTTTGTGTTTGTCTATCAATGTTAATCTATGTTGAATAAAAGTCGTTTGATCATTTGCAATGTGAAATTAGTTGAATATTCGCTGCAAAGAAGCTTGGACTGGAATCAAGATCTGTTAACGATGTCGATGATGTAATGAACGGACGTTAGCTTGCCTTGACCCGAGACACCTGCACGTGAGACTGCATGCAATAATAGTAATTACTGCCTACTGGCTGGCAGCCCTTTAGGGCCATGATAATATGTCTTGATGAATGATTGATATGCTTCCTTCCGCTCTAAATGGAACTTATGGTGGTTTTTATTCCAATTTTGCTTTGATAAAAAATCGGTTGGTGTATCGGAGGGCGATACAAATTGTCACATTGTTCTAATGATAGTCCTCCCAGTCTATTTAAGGTCACTTGAATTGACAACCATTGTCTCTTTTGCTCTCCTGGCCATCATCGCCGTCTTATCCACCAAGGAAGAAGTGGGCACCCAGTTTTTCGATTGCCCAATCGTGCAGTTTGTGGTTGTCGTAGATGCTAGCCAGCCCCATAATTCTACCGTGCTTTTTGAAGGCTTGGCTGGTCACCTCCGTGGCTTCGCGCAAAGCTGGGCTCTCGAAACGGCTAGGCACTTCGAGATCAATCGTAAGGTTATTTGATCCTATAAGAAGAACATCTGCGGTTTTAACTGATGTGATTCCGTCAATATTTTCCACACTCTCCCTGACCTCAATCATGAGCAAGACGCTTGAGTTACATGCGTTTGTTTGTAATATTATATCGTCTTGTGGTGTCGTTTTCAGAGAGAAGAGAGATAGCTGTCCAGTGAATAGACCCTTTGCTCTTTGGCGGACACTTGCGCATCGACAGCTGCCATTGCGCCCTCTTTTCCCCAGTATTATCATGATGTCTTGACCTAGAAAGAGACCACATGGGGTTTACATTGGCCATGGACATGGGGCAATATCACTCCCATTGTTCCGTCATACGACCTCGCCTTGGAAACAAACACCGTCAAGACACGACAACGACAGTTTCAGTGTAACCTGGCTGTGAAACTATCACCAGCACTTTCCGCCTATGGCAATTCTGAAGGCATTCGGGAACGAGTGGGGCCGCTTTTTATGGAGCACAAATGGCGACAAGTTCCGAGGTAATGGTCTGATCATGGATATCCGAGTGGCTCATGAAGCAGGTGAAGTAAGATTTTCTCAGTGTTTCCAAATTTTACAAGTCTGTATTTGATTTCCCTAGGAGACACGTACAGCTTCCAAAAATACAACAGACCTAGATATACCAGCAGTGTATCCGTACTCAACTCACCATCTTGCTACCTAACCCTGGTCCGTCGGTACAGCTTTGTTATGAGCTCTCGGACGTCAACTCGACATCGATTGAATAAACGAGGCTTCAGTATGACACTTGGCGGCGGATTTGGGACTAATTAAATAGTGCAAGGGTGCAAGGCTTGGCTAGAAGTGCTCAGCACGCTAACCTGGCTCTCGGCGTAGGTATCCATGGGCCAAAGCTACTGGAGCGAAGACCTTGGTACGCCCATACTCTTTCCATGACAGAACCTCTAGATAATCTAAAATTGATCCAGAGCGTTCTGCTCACTTTCGAGTGATCTTTTCCCCGCTAGGGATCACCAAGCGCTGCGAGAAACATGGCTGTCCCACGTGCTGCCCCGGGATTGGCTTGCGATCTTGTTCTCTTTTCGGCCGGTCTACCGGCTAGATTGGGCCATGGGCCTACGAGGACTAAGATATCAGCTGCAGTGGCTTTTTTTTACACACCGATGCGCTGCGATGTGGCGAAAGATTGCGCAAAATCGTGCGAGCAGTCAAAGACCGGCGCCACAGATAATCATGGGAGAGGAAGTAGGGGTACGGGCATGAGTGTGTGGAGTTTGGTAGCACAATATATTCCAGCCGGCTCAAAAGTCCATTGACGCCGACTAGTGGCAACTGGCCGCTTGGTTTTAAGAAATCATCCTTGATCTTGTTGTCTTCTGGAACTTCATGTGGACGATGGCAATGAGTAGCAGAAATTAGCCCCAAGTGCCCGCGGCGAGTGTGTGGCTCATTACCAGGCCAACTCGAGTGATGTTCTAATAATTCAAAGCGTCTGAGACAATACTCTATGTTTCCGGGGAAGCATCGTGCCAGTCACCCGGGGGACATTCTTCTCTTGTGACTTCACTAATTTCCAGAGCATATGTATATGCTGATAACCGATTGAAAACTTGGGCTCAACAGCCTTCCTTCCACACACAACACGGTGGGTGCGTTGTTGCCCTGCTAACCTGCTCCCTTGCAGTCGCATCACACTGTCAAGGATAGGTGAGGTAGAGTGATAGGAAACCAAGAACTCAGTATATATCAATGCTGAAATCTGCCCTCAGAGATATCCCTGAAGTCCTTGCTTTATAGCTACGTGTTTGGTGCGTATTCGGCCCTTTGTTGTTCTGACTAACCCTGTGAATTCCAGCCTATGACGCACGCCTAGATTTGCTTCTGCGTATGTAGCGCTTTTATGCGGGCTCTGAATTTTCAGATGATTTTCATGATTGTCCAGACTAGAGTTAGGGCACTTCCGGATCCGGATGATGGATTTGGCATCAGGTGTACGGTTCACAAATCGCCGGGCCACGGAAAGAGGATAAGTATTCTTTAAGGCACGCCACGAATTAGCCTGTCTCAACTCTTCATTTCTGGACATTCACCTCCTCACTTGCTGCCTTCTGTATTTGTAGGCGACCCCTTGGGAATCCGTCCCACTATCATGCCAAAAACTGTGACGATAGATGATGGCTAACTTGCCGACCCCGAAGGCGGTAACGATCATAGTGTGTTATATTCCTGACCTCAAGGCCTGGAGATCCCCACTTTTTGAATCTCGCTGACAATTTGTGGCATTACAGACCACAGGATGGGTGGTTATTCTTACCGCTGGTGCAGTAATAGTTGCATCCCTTTATCTCCGTATTAAAATACAAGGGAGAAGACTACAAGTTAGCGACTACTTCCTCTGTCTCGCTTGGTTGTCCGCAGTTGCAAATGCAGCCTTCGATATTCCATTTGCTGTAATGGGCGCCTTGAATCAAAATGTCAAAATCAATCTCGACGGGTACAATGCCAGCGATGACGATGTCGAGTTGGTCATGAGAGTAGGATACCTTTCTAGGGTCGTGCGATGACGGTGACTGACAAGAGTGGTTCTAGTTATACTGGGCCAGCAGCATACCCTTTTTCACCTCATTTTATCTCTGCAAAGGAGCCCTTTTGGCTATCTATTTTCAAATATTCCCCGTTTTCATGCTTCATCGACGAATGCTCTTGTGGGTGACAACACTTTACTGTGTCCTTGCATATATCACCAGCATCTTACTTCTTTTCACAATATGCTTGCCTTTGAGCAAAAATTGGTAAGTATCTAATCTCCAAATGATATTTGTCATGTACATACATGTTGATATTCAACATGTGACAGGTCTATGGTGGATAGTGTTGTTGGTACGGAGAATGTCATGTGCTCAGCATCTTCACCAGCCATCGTGTTCCAAGTTGGTTGGGCCCTGCACTTTTTTGCAGATCTTTTGTGTACGTGCATTTCAGTCCACTCATCACATACTGCAATATGATCAACCGGTAGCTGATCAGTAGGAAAGTATTCTGTCTCCCCTGGTCGATCATCCCTGACTTGAAAATCAGGAGGATGCTGAAAGTTTGCGTTTACTGTACTTTCGGCCTTGGCATTATCAATATGACTTTTTCACTTGTCAGGTTCATAACGATCCAAACTGCACCAATTGAAGCATTGCCTTTTGGCTTAGTTGGTGAGTGATATGTCAGTTTTGATTTTGTACTAGTGTGGTTGCTGAAAATTGATACTGTAAGAACTGTGGAGCGATCTTGACGTCAACGTTGGTTTGCTGGTAGCTAGTTTACCATCCTTGAGACCATACTTCCGATCAACCCGAGGGGCAGCCTGTTCGGGTAAGTCGAATGGCTACAACTACAAGTCGACCATAAATACACCGATGCACATCACGCGTATGAGTAGATTCGATATGGTCATTCCTTCGAATCTGAACCAGATCGCTGATCAGGAGCATATTGCGGCGAGCTTGTCCGCCACAAAATGACAGATGTCTAACGTGGAAACTAAAAAGTGAAAACATAGTGTACAAAAGAGAACAGCAATCAACGTAACCAATCAACATTACTTAATTCAAAAGTAAATCTAGAGCTACTAGATGTCAGAGGGGTTACAGTACTAAGTAGAGGAGTCTATAAATAGTGTAGTTAGGGGTTAATTATAACTATTTTCTAATCTACCTTCTCCTAATTCTCCTGTTCCTATAAACTCTGCTTTTATATAACCCTTAGATAATAGTTTTCCTAGTTATAGCCCTATAGCTAGTAGTCCCCTAGTGCCCTCTACCTCTAGCACCTAATATAATCTTCTCCCCTTAAGGTCCTGTTCTTAGGACCTTAAGTAGTGCTCTAGTAGGGCCCCTAGGGCTCTACTACTAGCTAGTATCTTAGAGGTATCTAAGAACACCTCTAGGCTTAGTAGGTTACTAAGTAAATAGCTATCTCCTTAGCTAGCTAATTACTTTTAACTTTACCTTTATAGCTATTATAGTTTAACTAGGCTAAGACTATTATTTTTTTAAGGTTATAGTTATTTTTAGCTAAGTTATAAGCCTTTATTACTTAATTAGCTTTACTAAAGGTTACTTACTTTATAATAAGAATACTTTATTTACTTATAATACTTTTATTACTTTTTTATTTTTTTAACTATAATACTTTCTTAAGTATTATATACTTTTAGTAAGCCTTTATTATATAGTTACCTTTTTTATTACTTTTATTTTTTTATAGCCTAAGCTTTAAGTTATACTACTTTTATAATAAAGAAAAGCTTTTATTTTACTTTTTAGTAGGCTATACTAGTAACTTTCTAAGTCTTATCTTTTTTTTTTTTTTATTATTTTTTTTTTACTTTATAAGCTTAAAATACTATTATAACTTACCTTATTATTTTTATTTAGCTTAATTAAGTAACCTTTTTAGCTTTACTTTTTCTTTAATTTTTTTACTTTTAATTTTTTTTTTTTAATAGCTTTATTTTATTATTATTTTTTTATTTTTTTTATTTTACTACTACTACTACTATTACTACTACTACTTAGTAGTAATAGTAATAATAATAGTACTAGTATTAGTACTAGCTTCTTTACTACTACTATATTTTCTTTTATTTTTACTAATACTTTTACTAGTAATACTACTATTACTACTACTAGCCTTACTACTACTAGTCTTACTAACTAAGGTAGCTTTATTAGCCTTCTAGTGCCCTTTTTTATTTTACTTACTTTTTACTACTTTTATACTTATATTAAAGAAGATAAGCTTATTTATAATATACTTTATAACTACTATATTTACTAAATAACTAACTAGTATCCTAGTATATTAAGTGCTTATACTACTGCCTTTTTTTACTATATAAAGACTACTTATATACCTTTTTTTATATCTAGTACTTCTTTAGTGTCTTTTTCTTAGTGCTTTAGCTAATATATTTTAGCTACTAATAATAAATATACTTATTATACTACTATATATAGTAAGCCTTATATCTTAGTATATTTATTTTTACTTTTATTATTCTTATAACTTCTAGTAGCTATTAACCTTTTAAATAAGCTACTTATACTACTATTATAGCTAGTATTAAGCTATATTACCTTTTTAAGGCTATAAACTATTCTACTAAGTCTACTTATATCTACTATAGTATTACTATATATTTATTTCCTCTAGTGCCCCCCTAGTAACTCTTTATACTAACGTTAGCCTAGGACAAGATTAATAAGGCCTAGGTTATAGCTAAAAAAGTACTTTAGTACTAGGTTAACCTAGCTAAGGCCTTTAATACTAAGTATAAGGCTAAGGCTAAAGAAAAGAAGTAGCTTCTTTACTAGTACTATATTATAGCCCTTAAGACTATTACTAACTTTTTTTACTACTAGGTTAAGCTAGCTAAGTCTATACTTTATACTACTAAGGTTACTACTATAGCCTTTAAGGCCTAGACTATTACCCTTTAGGAGTAGACTACTACTATTATAGCCTAGACTACCCTCTTTTTAGAGTAGTCCTAGACCTACTCCTAGGTTATAAGTGTTTTCTCTCTAATATCTACCTAGTGCCCCCTTAGTACTCTTTATACTAGTTACTAACTTCTCTTTAGTATACTAGTAAGCTTAAATCTAAGGCTAGTAATAATATAGCCTTCTTATTAGCTATTATAGATCTAATAGAAAAAGTAAAGCTATAATAAGTAATATAAAGTAATATAGTATAAAAGTAAAGTATAATAATAAAGTAGTAAAATAAAGTAAGTAATAATAAAAAGCTAAATAAATAATATAAGATAAAAGCTAGGTATAAGTATAAGTTATTTATTAAGGTTACTTTTTTTTATAAAAGAAAATAGGTAATAAGATATATACCCTTAGGTATATACCTAGATATGTACTAATAAAGTAATCCTATATTCTACTTATCTATCTACTATATAAAGCACTTATCTTATAATAAATACTTTCCTCCTAAAGGACTTTATTTTCTTTTACTAAAAAAATATACTAAATAGTAGTATATATAAATATAAAGTATAAGAATTACCTTTTTTCTTATATAATAACCCTATTACTTATTATCTCTAAAGTTCTATTAAGATTATTTAGCCTTTAGTAGTGCCTAGGCTAGGTTATTATTATTAGTGTTATAGTAGTATTTATTAGCTTAGCTACCCTAGGTTATTAAAGTAGTAACCTTAGGCTAAGTAGCTAGGACCTAAAGGTTAACTATAGCCTTTTATTTATTAAGCTTAGTAGCTATTTAGTTAACCTTATCTATTAACTCTTTAAATAAGCTACCCTTAAAAGTAGTTAGTATATTAAGGTTATTAGACTTCTTATTAAAAAGTATAACTTTAGTGTTTATTTAGTCTACTTACTCCTTAAGTTCCTTAAGGTACTTCTTTTACTTATATACTTTATTAGCCTTCTTATAAAGGTTCTTTATAATATTATTAATATCTATATTAAAAGTATTAGTCTTTTTTATAATATCCTTAGTAAGTTAGTAGCTATATTAGCCTTAGTATTATATTTATTAATATTACTTTTATAGCTATTAACTATATTAGCTAGCTTAGTAATATTCTCCTTAAGCTTAGTAATAGTATATAACTACTTTTTTAGCTAGTTAAAGTAATAAATCTCTAGGATAAAGATCTTATTAAGACATTAGATTAAAAGAAGTATACTTATAACCTTTAAATTAGATTAGCTAGGTTAATAAAGAAAAGTAAAGCTAATAAGTATAGTATAGCTAGGAATATTACCTATATAAGGCTTACCTTTTTTATACTTAGTTAAGATAGTGTCTATTAAGGTAGTAATTTTATAATAAAAATATATATTTAATATAAGTAATAATTACTATAATACTATAGAGCTACCTTATTACTAAGTATAGAAGGCTTTAACCTAAGCTATAGTCTCTTTATAAAGCTATTTATTACTACTCTTATAAAAGGCGTCCTTTAGGTAATAAAGAGCCTTCTTATAAGTAAAAATAGCTAGCTTTAAGCTATAGCCTTTTTACTTTATAAGGGTATAAGGTTTATATACTTAGTTATTAGTGTTATTAGCTTTTTAGTAATAGTAGCTTTAGTATTAGCCTTATAGGCTTAGATTTATTTAAGGACTTACTTATTAATAAGTTTATAACTAAATAGCTTAGTTATTTCCCTTATATAGTTATTAATCTCCTCTAGGGTAGTAATTACTACTAACTTCTTATATATAGTAGTAGGCTTCTTTAATTCTCTTATATTATTATACTTTCTTATTTCTTTAGTAAGCTTTATAGCTACTTTTATAGTGTTAAAGGGTTTTCTTATAGTAGTAGCTTTATCTTAAAGTTACTACTAGATCTTATTAAAAATAAGCTATCTTTATTACTTATAGTTCTTAAGTAAAGGCTTTTACTATTTAATATATTCTATAGCCTTATTAGTGTCTTTTATTATATCCTTAGGTAAAGAAATATTATTACTTTTAATACTAAAGATATTAAAGTTTACGCCTTTATTATTATTATTATTATTTTTATTAATATTATTATTATTCTTAGTAGCCTCTTCCTTATCCTAGGACTAAGAGGCTAGTTAGTTAATAGCTATAAAAGATAGCTTAAAAATAGATCTAGGCTTATTAGCTAGGGTAGTAGTAACCTTATTAGGCTAGTAGATTTACTTATTAGGCTAATCTACCTTAGAGCTAGTAATATAGAGAGGGTTATCTTTATTAAGGTACTAGTTAAGGTTAATAATGTCTAGGTTTAAGGGATTATTATTACCTAGGATAAGGCTAAATTAAATTAGGGCACTTATAGTAGCTTATTTTTCTTTTGTTTAAGGGGTAAAAGTTTATAAAGAAAAAGAAAAAGAATATAAAAAAAATATATTATTACTATAAGAATATTAATAGATTATAGTTAATAATAGTAGTAATATAGTAAAGTTAGTAATAGTAATAAGAAAGTAGTAAGTTTAGTAAGTTAAAAATAAGAAAACTATAGTTATAGGTAAGTAAGTTAATTTATTTTATTATTATTATTAGTAACTATAGGTAAAGAAGGTATAGTTAGTTATTTTAGGTAAAAGCTTCTTTTATTATTTTTTAGGATATTAAGCTATATAAATATTCTTATTATTTACTATATAACTATATATTTTAATAAAAGGAAAGTGTTAGTTATTTTTAAGTTATTATTATTCTTGTTAAAAGAAAATTAAAAAACAAGGTTATTATTAAGAACAGAGGTATAAGGCTAAGTTTCTCCTTATATTATTATAAAGTATTATAACTATTTTAGTGCTAACTATAGTAGTGTCTATAGAAAGTCTACTAACGTAGGCTTTTAGCCTTGTTTCTTTATATACTTTATTATTTAATTAATAAGGTTAGCCTTCTTAAAGTTAGTTATAATATTACTAGTATTAAGCGTAAGGTTTTTATAAGGTTCCTATATATTAAATACTAATAAGTACTTTTTCTACTTAATAAAATACTTAACTAATAGATAGTTCTTTTACTAGTTAACTTTATAGTCTATAATTCTCTTAACTTTAAATTCCTTTATACTATTTACCTTTACTAGCTCTAGGGGTAATTACTCCTTTTTAAAAAAGTTATTACTAGTTAGCGCTTTCTATAGCTATATAGTTAATACTACTAGGTAGACCTTCTAGTGTAGTAGTAGGTTAAGTTTATAGGCTTTTAGCCTAACTATA